AGTCAAAGCTGAGCATCAAGTTCCGTCAGGATTATTGCAACCGCTTGTCATTCCTCAATGGAAATGGGAAAATGTTACGATGGATTTTGTTTCGGGGTTACCCTTGACTCTGAACAAAAGAGAATCAATCTGGGTAATTGTTGATCGATTAACTAAGTCAGCGCATTTTTTCCCGATTAGAACAGATTTCTCTATGGAAAAATATGCAGAGCTGTATATTAGAGAAGTTATTAGATTGCATGTAGTGCCTGTTTCCATAGTCTCTGATCGAGACCCTCGATTCACTTCTAGATTCTGGAAATCTTTGCATGGAGCGTTGGGGACTCGTTTAAACTTTAGTATGCCTTTTCATCCTCAGACTGACGGGCAATCAGAGAGAACTATTCAGATATTGGAAAATATGTTGAGAGCATGCGTAATGGAATTCAAAGGATCATGGGAAAAGTATTTGCCACTGACAGAGTTCGCTTACAACAATAGTTATCAGTCTAGTATAAAGATGGCCCCATATGAGGCATTATATGGGAGGAAATGTCGTACTCCATTAAATTGGTATGAACTCAAAGATCGAAGTGTTCTTGGTCTGGATTTAATTCAAGATGTAGAACAAAACGTTCGAGAAATTCAGCATAACCTCAAAGTGGCCTCTGATCGGTAAAAATCCTATTCTGATCTTAAAAGAAAAGAGATTGAGTTCGAGGTTGGAGATAAAGTTTTCCTTAAAGTATCTCCCTGGAAGAAAGTATTACGTTTTGGTCGGAAAGGAAAGTTAAGTCCTAGATTTATTGGGCCATACGAAGTTGTTAAGAGAATAGGACCCGTGGCTTATCAGTTATCCTTGCCACCGGAAATGGAGAAGATCCATAACATCTTCCATGTGTCCATGTTATGAAGATATAGGTCCGATCCCTCTCACATCATTGCACCAGAACAAGTAGAAGTCCAATCGGATCTGACATATGAAGAAGAACCAGTGAGAATATTGGCTTTTGAAGTCAAACAGTTAAGAAGTAAGACCGTTTCGTTGGTCAAGGTTCTTTGGAGAAATCACAAAGTAGAAGAAGCTACGTGGGAACGTGAAGAAGATATGCGACTTCAATATCCCCATCTGTTCGTACAATGAAAATTCGAGGACGAATTTTTTTAGGGAGGGAGATTTGTAACATCCTCCATACCGGGTTAGTGATCAAATTGTGAAATTATAAAATTTAGTGACCAAAGTAGATAAATTGAATAGTTGAAAGATTTAATAGGAATGTTTTGTGTAGGATCAATTAACAAAGAAGGAGGAACTAAAGGGGTAAATGAGTCTTTTAATAGGGGAAATAATTAAATATTAGATGAGGATATTTAAATCCACGTGGAAGGCAAATGAAGAGAACAAAAGTTTCCAGATTTCTCTTCAGCTTCACTTCTTCTTCTCCATCGAGAGACCAAGCTAAAGGTGAGTTTTCTTGTTGATTAAATTCTTGATGAATTTAAGGTTTCTTATTGATCCTTAGTTGATAACTAAGCTTAAGGAAAGCTTAGATTATCTTAAAACCATAAGATGAGGAGAATATGAAGAATCAAAGAAAGGAAGTAGAAAAGTGAAATCTTGGATTAGAGTTCCTAATAAGAATTAGAAGTGGGATTTGACTTGTCATAAAGCTAACTAAGAAGTATGAGGTGTTAGAATTCAAATTAGAATATGTTGGAATTTGGGTTAGATTCTTAAATTCTACATGGAGAATTGGATTTTTAAGTTTCAAAAGTATGGAATGGATAATAATTAGTTTAAGTAAGAGTATGCAAGTTAAGGATATATAAAGAGGGGAAATATAAAGTGTTAAGTAGACTAAGAAGAGATTTTCGTGCTAAAATGACAATTCTGGGCAATGTGCATCGATGCACATTCATTGTGCACCGATGCATCGATGATAAATCCCAGAAATTATTTAAGGTGCATCGATGCACATGCAGTGCATCGATGCATTAATTTAAAAAGAAAACATCGAATAGGATTTATGCATCGATGCATAAGTAGTGCATCGATGCATCCCCATTAAATACAAACATCGAATAGGATTTATGCATCGATGCATGGTGTAGTGCATCGATGCATACCTCCATTAAAAGATGAAAATGGCTTTTCTTTTAGCCTAAGAAATGATAGTTTAGAATATATTAATTAGTATACTGATAAGTATCAATGAATTACTATATAGATATCGAGCCTAAACGAGTTCCGAAACCATCAACAAGTAGGATCAATCGAGGGAAAGATAAAGAAATATAGGTGAGTGCATATGCATAGCATGAATATGTATTTTATTCAGTTCTAGACTTGTGATAAGTCTAGATTTAATATTTTGATACATGATAGTATTTCATATTATGATATATGACATGAATCCATACCATATGCATTATGGGACATGAATATGGAAGAAAAAGTTATATGAGTTATGTGATAAAGGTATAAAAATAACATGTCTACGTGATACAAATAAGATAAATTATGAAAGCCCATGATATGTAAATGAGAACTATAGGTATAGTTGGCATGCCAAGGGTAGATGGTCTATGTGGTCCTTCGGGACATATATGTATTCTTTGGAACATGTGTGAAGTCTGGTGAGACACATACTTGATCCTTGGCATATGTATATGATTCTTAAGGAATGATATGTGGTCCTTCGGGACATATATGTATTCTTTGGAACATGTGTGAAGTCTGGTGAGACACATACTTGATCCCTAGTATATGCATATGATTCTTAAGGAATGATATGTGGTCCTTATGGACATTATTATATGGCACTACGGTGCAATTCTACGCGGCACTCTGGTGCAATTCTACGTGGCACTTCGGTGTAATTATATGAGTGTTGGTGACAACATAGTGCTCAACCTCACAATACTCACATACCTTAGGTTCTCTGTATGGTACCATGTGCTAATGAACTTACTAAGGTGAACTTATGAATGTGAATTTGATAAGTATATGTGTAAGAAACATGGTTCTGGTTATTGCATTGTTTACATACATCTTATCATTGCAACCCATCCCAATTTGGCAATTACTTTATATTTATTGATATTATTATTATATTGCCTCACTAAGTCGATGACTTAGCGTGTGAGTGTTTCACACGTAGGATCCGATAAAGTAGACGATCGAGGTTAAGCAGCTGGACAACATTACTCCTGCAACTATCAGATCAGAAGCAACTTAATCAGTAGGTCATTTTGTTATAAAAAGGGATGTTGGCATGTAACTAAAGGGTTAAGTTGTGTATGCTCTGAGTATTTTGATAAACTTGTATTAATATATGTATATTATTGTATTTTTCTTAATATAAGTTCAAGTATTTTGCTATTATTTGTAAGAGTTGTGTTTCAAAAGTCAATATAATATCTCTGACTCGTATCCGGGTTGGATACGAATTGGGGATGTTACAATTATCTTCATATTTCCTCTTTTAAATTTAGTTTGGTCTAACGTTACTGTCTATATGCAGAGATTTTTTCGCAGGGTTTTATTTGCAGGGATTACTTCTCATTAAAAACGCGCATAGGATATTAATGACTACATATGAACATTGTACAACTATGTATTTATTTATACATGCATTGTATGTATTTATGTATTAATTCCCACATGCATTGCCTACTACCCTACCTCCCCCTTACCCCATTGCATTTGAGAATTGGGTTTTGTTGTTGTTGTTGTATTAGTAATATATTTATATATGAATATACAAGGGTAAAAATAAATTTATATATGAATAAAATAAACATTAGTAATATATTTATATATGAATAAATTTAATAAATATATATGTATATAAGTATATATGATATATCATGTGTATGTAATGAAATAATAATAAAAATAGTACATGCATAAGTACATTTGAAACATAATATGTACATGAATATTATAACATGGGTTAAAATGTAAACATGCAAACATGGCATACCATAATGCAAATAACATAAAATAAATAAGCTTTATAAACAAGTGACTAAACTGCATAAATTGAAAATACAATATCATAATCGTAAAATAAAGAAACAAAATTAATCAGTGACTAGAATGAAAAAGAATAAAATCAATGGCCAATTTCAAAATAAACAGAACAGCATGCATGGTGACCAAATTGAAACAAGATAAAACAGAATGTCAAAATCAGAACAAACAAAGAACACGAGCCTCCTGGTGACTATAATGTAAAAACATGGTAAAGATATAGGTATCTGAATCGTGATTAACCCATAAATCTAGTGGCCAAAATGAAATAAACGTAAATATCATACCCAAAGTCATATAACAACAAAAAATTGACTTATAACAGGCAGTGATTAAAATGTAAATGCTACAAAATAAGTGCTCGAAACATAATAACACAAATTTGTGTAGTCTTTAAAACTTCTCCTTTACACCATCCAAAACAAATGGTAGATTTATTGATACCAGGGAAGCCTTTATGCAGTAATTGATATGATGATGCAGATATAATATCGACAATTATGGTCCAAAACCTTCTAAATTTCAGTCCACTTTAGATGGGAACAAATAACTCATTTATGAACATCTCGACCTTTCGCTTGAAATGTATAAATTCATGATTTAGCTAGAATTCGGATTAATTTTTTATTTTATTGATCGTGTCCATTAATTCATATTTGGATTTGTTGAATCATTACCAAGCAATCATCAAAGCTACTCCTCAACCACAACATTCTCAATTGGTTTCACTGATATAAAATAATCAAAGGAAAATATTTAATCATACCTTTTAGCATTTGACAATATATATTAGATAATATAATCTAGGTGGCCATTTACGTATGGCCAAAGCAAGTCCTTAGAAGTTGACAACAGGTTGATAAACTATGTTGCAACTTGTTTGATCAACTGCCCTGCATCAAACACTGCTAAAACTCCATATAAAAGCGCTCCAAAGTTTACATTCAAAAAATAATTACTTGTTGACAACTAGACATACAAATTTCATCGACAGTTGCTTCGGATTAGCTTTGAGTTGATAACCATGGCTGGGGCGAAACCTTGGAGCCTTGTTCTGATTGTTTTGTTCATGATGAGTTTGAGCTCTTTGGTTAATGGTGCCGGTGATAATAATAACAACGATGAAGGTTTAGGAGCTTCTTTCATCTTCGGCTATTCTTTGGTGGATGCTGGTAACAATAACTATCTGCAAACTTTGTCCAAGGCAAATGTTCCACCGAATGGGATCGATTTTAAAGCATCCGCCGGCCAGCCTACCAGCCGCTACGCCACTGGCAGAACCATTGGTGACATTGTTAGTAAGCGTTTCCTCCTCTCGTTCATCTTTAACCGCAATAAACACGAAGCCACCGCAGTTTTCTGGACAATGGACTAAGGTTTGTCATTTGTGTATTGACAGGAGAAGAATTGGGAGTGCCGAATTATGCAGTTCCATATCTTGCTCCGAACTCTACAGGGAAAGCTATAGTAAAAGGTGTAAATTATGCATCAGGAGGAGGGATCATGAATTCAACTGGAAGCATATTTGTAAGGGTCTCAATATCCTAAATTTATCCATTCCCAACAAAAATATTTATGGAAATCCAGAGTTAAATTTATCTGAATTTTGCAGGTTAATAGGCTAGGATTGGATATCCAAATCGACTACTTCAACAACACAAGAAAACTGCTTGATGATTTATTGGGTGCATCAGAGGCCAAAGACTATATTTCCAAGAGATCCATCTTGTCAATCACAATCGGATCCAACGATTTTCTCAACAATTACCTTCTCCCACTTGTTTCCACTGTGTTAAAAGTTTCAAAGTTTGGCAACCAACTTTGGAAAATATTTTTCAAAGTTCGGTAAATGTTTCTTTGAAAAATGTTTTTCAAAGTTTGGTAAAATTTTGGTAGATGTTTGTTGAAAATAGGAATGGGTAAATTTACTTTAGTCATTGCACTTTAGGGTATTTTCAAAGATTAGTCCCTAAGTTTCTACTATAAATACCCTTACCCATTTAGCTTCAAAATCATCCCAAAACATTTCTTTCTTCCTATACTAGAGAGCTTTCTTGTGAGTAGTTTGTGTTTTGTAAACACCTGTAAATTTTCTCTCTTAGTAAGAGATCTGCAGCAGCCCGGAGACGTAAGCACAATTGGCTGAACTCTGTTATCAATTTTCGGGTATTATTTTTTCGCTTTTATTTCGCATTCTCACTAATATGGTTATAGGGAAATTACTTGTACTTGGTTTATTTCCCAACAACTGGTATCAGAGCTTTTGGTTGTGAATTTTGTCAAATTTTCTACGAGGTTACTATTTATTACTATTCACATGAATAGTGAATTTTGTGAATAGTGAAATTCGGTCGGCGATACGAGTTTGTCGACGGTGGTGTTCTAATACACGGTGATTCGGAAGAATTGTCAGAAACGATCCAAACGAAGCCAGATTCGAGTAGGAGCGATGGCTGCAGACGAAGGGAAGGTGAAAATTGAAAAGTTTGATGGTGCGGACTTTGGCTTTTGGAAGATGCAGATTGAAGATTTTTTGTACCAGAAAAATCTATATCAACCTCTCTCAGGAAAGCAACCAGAGGGCATGAAGGATGAAGATTGAGCTCTTCTCGACAGACAAGCCCTCGGAGTTATCCGACTGACGTTATCCCGCAATTTTGCTTTTAACATAGCAAAGAAAAAGACCACGGCGGGTCTTATGACGGCTCTCTCCAGTATGTACGAGAAGCCATCGGCCTCAAACAAAGTTCATTTGATAAGACGATTATTCAATTTGCGGATGGCAAAAGGGGCATCGGTGGCACAACACCTAAATGAACTCAACACAATCACAACCCAGTTGAGTTCAGTGGAAATTGAGTTCGATGATGAAGTTCGAGCTTTAATTCTCTTATCATCTCTACCAGACAGTTGGAATGCTACTGTTACAGCAGTTCGTCGGGAAACAGCAAATTAAAATTCGACGATGTTCGGGATCTGGTATTGAGTGAATAAATTCGACGAAGGGAATCGGGTGAAGCATCAACCTCCTCAGCCTTGCACACGGAGTCTAGAGGGAGAACTTCAGAAATAAATTCAAATCGTGGCAGATCAAAATCCAAAGGGGCAAATCAAGAACAGGAAATAAAGATTTTACCTGTTATAATTGTGGCAAGAAGGGTCACTTCAAAAGAGATTGCCGAGCACCGAAGAAAAATACCGGCGCACAGGAATCTGCCAACATGACGAAGACAAGTGATGCCATGATTTTAAGCGTCAACAGTCCGATTGAATCATGGATCTTGGATTCAGGGGCATCTTTCCACTCCACCCCATGCCGAGAAATCATGGAGAACTATGTCAGTGGTGATTTTGGGAAGGTTCATCTAGCTGATGATGAAACCTTGAAGATCGTCGGAAAAGGAGACATCCGATTAAAGCTGCCAAACCAGACCACCTGGAAGCTGACAGGAGTGAGACATATTCCTGGCCTCAAAAGAAATCTGATTTCTGTTGGACAGCTTGATGGAGAAGGATATAGTACAACTTTTTCAGGCTGTTTACCAAAGGAGAACTCGTCATTGCTTGTGGTAAGAAGACCGGTACTCTCTATGTAACCTCAAATTTAGAGAATATCATTGCAGTAGCAGATGCTGATGGAAAATCAAACCTATGGCACCAAAGGCTCGGCCATATGAGCGAGAAAGGAATGAAGACTTCTGTCAAAAGGGAAGCTGCCGGATCTAAAGAATGTAGATGTCGGACTATGCGAGGATTGCATCTTTGGAAAACAAAAGAAAGTCAGTTTTACAAAGATTGGCAAGACTCCCAAGGCAGAAAGGTTAGAATTGGTTCATACTGATGTATGGGGACCATCCCCTGTTCCATCTCTTGCAGGCTCACTATATTATGTCACCTTCATCGATGATTCAACAAGGAAGGTGTGGGTTTTTTCTGAAGAAGAAATCAGAAGTCTTTGATACCTTCAGAAAATGGAAGGCCATGGTGGAAAATGAGACTGGTTTGAAAGTCAAGCGGTTGAGGTCTGACAATGGGAGGAGAGTACAGAGACAGTAGTTTCAGAGATTTGCGCAAACAATGGGATCAAGATGGAGACAACAGTTCCCATAACACCGCAGCAGAATGGCGTAGCAGAGCGCATGAACAGAACTATGAATGAACGTGCCAGAAGCATGAGGATACATGCCGGATTGCCCAAATTTCTATGGGCTGAAGCTATCAACACTGCAGCTTACCTGATCAACCGTGGGCCCTCAGTTCCTTTGGATGGCGGAATACCAGAGGAAGCTTGGAGCAAGAAAGAAATAAACCTTTCACACTTAAGAGTGTTTGGTTGTATTTCTTATGTACACATAAACTCTGCTGAAAGAAGTAAACTTGATGCCAAGTCCAACAAATGCGTCTTTGTTGGTTACGGTGGTGATGAGTTCGGTTACCGGTTTTGGGACTACGAAAATCGAAAGATCATCAGAAGCAGAGACGTCATTTTCAATGAAAATGTGATGTACAAAGATAGGTCAACCGCAGAATCAAGTAACACCGAAGCTGAAACAAAGGAATTTGCTGAGTTCGAGGAGATTTCTGGAAATGATGTTCAGGTCAATCCTGAAGCAGTTCAAGAACCACACACACCAGAACTGAGACGCTCCTCCAGAATTCCTAAACCAACCCAACGGTATTCGCCTTCTTTGCACTATTTGTTGTTGACTGACAATGGTGAACCAGAGTGCTATGATGAAGCAATGCAGGTGGAGGATTCAGTCAAGTGGGAGTCTTCCATGAAAGATGAGACTCGCAGAGTGCTATGATGAAGCAATGCAGGTGGAGGATTCAGTCAAGTGGGAGTCTTCCATGAAAGATGAGATGGACTCGCTTATGTCAATCAGACGTGGGAATTAGCTGAATTACTACCAGGCAAGAAGCACATAACAAGTGGATTTACAGGATCAAAGAAGAACATGGGAGGGAAAACGCTACAAGCAAGATTGATTGTCAAAGGTTTCAGCAAAAAGAAGGTATTGACTACAATGAAATTTTCTCTCCAGTCGTAAAACTGTCTACAATCAGACTGGTGTTGAAAATTGTAGCTGCGGAGAATTTACATCTTGAGCAGTTAGATGTAAAGACAGCTTTCCTTCATGGGTTTGGAGGAAGAGATCTATATGAGGCAGCCAGAAGGCTTCATAGAGGCAGGCAAGAAAAACCTGGTATGCAGGTTGAAGAAGAGCTTGTAGTTCAGATATGCAAGAGATTATAAACTTGAAGCAAAAATTGTCGAAGCAGTTGCTATGAAGGATCTGGGCGCTGCAAAGCAGATTCTTGGGATGAGGATCAAGAGAGACACAAAGTCGGGGACTTTGATGTTATCACAGGCTGAATACATCAACAAAGTACTCTCCAGGTTCAACATGCAAGATGCTAAACCAGTAAGTACACCTTTAGGTGTTCATTTAGACTTTCCAAAGAACAGTCACCAAAGACGGAGGAAGAACGTGCACACATGGTGAAGGTGCCGTATGCCTCAACAATTGGAAGTCTAATGTATGCCATGGTTTGTACCAGACCAGATATTGCTCAAGCAGTAGGAGCTGTTAGCAGGTACATGAATAATCCGGGCAAGGTACACTGGGAAGCAGTCAAATGGATCCTCAGATATCTACGGGGTACCATAAACAAAGCACTTTGTTTCAAAGGTGGAGATACGATATGACAGGCTATGTAGATGCTGACTTAGCCAGAAATGTCGATATCAGAAGAAGCACTACAGGGTATGTCTATACTCTAGGAGGAACCGCAGTGAGTTGGGTTTCTCAACTATAGAAGATAGTTGCTCTCTCCACAACTGAAGCAGAATATGTCGCTGTTACGGAAGCCAGCAAGGAGATGGTTTGGCTCCAAAGTTTCTTGGAAGAGTTAGGCAAGAAACAAGAAAACAATGTCTTGTATTGCGACAGTCAAAGTGCTATCCATCTAGAAAAGAATCCGTCTTTTCATTCCAGGACGAAACACATACAATTGAGATATCATTTTATCCGGTCTCTTCTGGAAGATGGGATTTTGAAACTTGAAAAGATTAGTGGAGCTCAAAATCCGACAGACATGTTGACAAAGACGGTGACTACGGACAAACTGAAGTTGTGTTCAGCTTCAGTTGACATGCTAGAATAACAAGACCAGACATGCTGCTGCATTGATCAAGGTGTGAAGACATATTAAAATCAGTCTTCAAGTGAGAGATTGTTAAAAGTTTCAAAGTTTGGCAACCAACTTTGGAAAATATTTTTTCAAAGTTCGGTAAATGTTTCTTTGAAAAATGTTTTTCAAAGTTTGGTAAAATTTTGGTTGATGTTTGTTGAAAATAGGAATGAGTAAATTCACTTTAGTCATTGCACTTTAGGGTATTTTCAAAGATTAGTCCCTAAGTTTCTACTATAAATACCCTTACCCATTTAGCTTCAAAACTATCCCAAAACATTTCTTTCTTCCTATACTAGAGAGCTTTCTTGTGAGTAGAGTGTATTTTGTAAACACCTATAAATTTTCTCTCTTAGTAAGAGATCTGCAGCAGCCCGGAGACGTAAGCACAATTGGCTGAACTCCGTTATCAATTTTCGGGTATTATTTTTCCGCTTTTATTTCACATTCTCACTAATATGGTTATATGGAAATTACTTGTACTTGGTTTATTTCCCAACACACTGGAACAAGGATTTTCGGAAACCCCGATGCTTACATCGATGGCATGATCAATCACCTACGGAACCAATTAACAGTAGGTAAAATATAACTCTGACTCTTCGTTTTTCTTCACGTACTCGAATTTGTTGTTCTGGCGGCACAGACTATATCAGCTAAATGCTCGGAAGTTTATCGCAGCAAATGTTGGTCCGGTTGGTTGCATACCGTATCAGAAAATGATCAACCAATTTAAGGAAAATCAGTGTGTTGATTTGGCAAATAAGCTAGCAATGCAATGCAACCGGCAATTAAAGAGTTTGCTGTCTGAACTAAACGGGAAGCTGCAAGGAGCCATATTTGTTCATGCCGATGTGTACGACCTAGTGATGGAACTCATCGCAAAATATGCACAATATGGTATTAACATTGACAAACACATCTCGGGTCTATATTTTTTTCGATGTTTAAAGTTACGAATCGATCACCGAAAGTTTTTTTTTATGTAGGTTTCACGACAGCAGGCAGAGCTTGCTGCGGAATTGGAAATGTAGGCCAATTTTCGGGGATAATTCCATGTGGACCAACATCAAGCTTGTGTGACGACCAGGACAAGCATGTTTTCTGGGATGCATACCATCCGAGCGAGGCAGCCAATCTTATAATCGCCAGGCAACTCGTGTACGGGAGTACCCAATATGTTTCACCTAGGGCTGTAAATGAGACGAGACAGATCGCGAGCTACTCGAGATCGATTCGATCAAGGCTCGATAAATACTCGGATCGAATGGACTCGAGCTCGAGCTCGACTCGAGTTCTTAACGAGCCGAAACGAGCTACTCGATATTCGACTCGAAAAGCTCGTGAGCAGCTCGAAAAAAAATGTTATATTATAATTTTAGATTTTTTAAAATTACATTATTAAAAATATATTAAAAATATATTATTGATAATTATAAAATTTTAAAAATATATTAAAAATTCTATAATACAATTACCCTCAAATTTTAATTTTTTAATTAACCAACCTAAGTCCATTTGTTACATTGTATATTACTAAAAAAATAAAAGCTCATTTAATTAAGCACATGTTAGATTACACGTATTTGGTTGATTTTTTTCTTCTTTTTTTAACTTTTTTACTGCATAAGTAATTGACAACGTATTAAATATTATAATGGATAGGCAATGAGATTAAAAAGAAATGGTGGTGATAAAGATTAATTATTATAGTGGAGGTGTTGAATATTATAGTAGTGGGATTAAAACTAATAGTGGAATATGTGTTCAAATTCATACATAATTGTAGTGCTATAATAATAAAAATGATAAACTTTTAATTAAATTGGTATTAATTCTAAATAATAGTTAATATTATTAAATTTTTATTTATATTAAATTTATATTATAATTTTTATTATATTAATTAGTTTCTATCGACCATGAACATTTCTAGTTTAAAAATCATCTAAATACTATTAAAATATAATATTCCTTTAAAATCTTATCACATCCAATGTAAAATGAAATTTAAATGAAGAAAATTAAGATTATAATAAAACATAAGGATTAAGTATGATTTAAAGAAGAATTGAATGAAATTTAAAGATAAAATGGAATAATTAAAGTGATATCAAGCCCTTCATTTTATATCATATTGGTACTTTAAATAATTTGATATAAATTCATAGAATAATATAAAGTTGTATATACATATGAGTATGGAAAAGGTGGCAAAACGAGGTGTGGACACTTAGCCCCGCTAATTTCATGCAATTTGATGTATGAATATTAGAGGGAAAGATGCAATTTTCTCATTATTTGTTATAATAATGAAGTGTTAATCAATTTGAGAGTCTAACTACATTAAAATAAAAATTTGAATTGATGGAAAGGTGGGAACTTTCTGGAGTCAGAAAAGCTAGAAAATACCATTGTTGGGTCTCAAAAACAAACCTAAACCTAAACCTAAATATTCAGCTGCTCAAGCCTCCCCTTCTCCAACTCTCCCCCTCTCATTTTCACGCACGACCCATAACCAGAAAATATTGCCGCTCCTCTCGCCTTTCTTCAACGGAGTTCTACACTTCGACCACCAAACCCCGATGACTAGGTAACTACATTCAACATTAAAATAGGTTTGACCTTCTCCTTTTACCCTCAAATAACCTTAGCCGAGTCCCTCTCAAAACCCACAGCCACCATGAAAATAAAACCCTCTTATTATTTTATAATGAACTTATTTTTGACTAACACAACCCCTTATTTTGACAGTGAGGCTCGAACGGCTAAGAGGCAAAGCAGGATGAACTACAACTAAGGTAAACGTTTAAGCTATCTCCTTTATGCCTTTGACTTGGTTTCGATTCGGAATATATGCACACACAAGAAAATTAAGAAAGCAATGGATAATAGAAACTAAAATACCCCTTGATTCTGTATATTGCTTGGGTTCGATGAAAAAAAATGCTTCTCTGTTTATTTTGTTCCTCAACTAGCAGGAAAATACAATACAAATTACTTCCTTATGTTTTGCTATTATCTGTAAAAAGAATCAATGGGGGACGGTTTTTTTCTGCTTCTATTTTCTCGGTTAATTGCTGCTGTCCCTCGGCTCATTCCTCTCTTTTTTGTATGTGATCTCCTTTTCCCCAGTGGTTAATTGTCACTTTGAAGAGTTAAGCTCATATAGTGACTCACTCAGATAAAAATTGCTGGTAATGCCCAAATAATGTTCTTAAAAGTATTCTTTTTTTGTATTCTTTTTTTGTAAGTAAACTTAACATGCAGCTATCATTTAAATTTCAATCCCCGTTCAGTTTATTGGGTTATCTTTTCATTTTTACCGTTTGAATGTTCTTGGATTCCCTGACTTTATTTTCGTTGTTTTACATACATCTTTGTATTATTTTTAGTAGCTAAATGCATTCCCTAGTTTTGTATTATGTTGTTAGTGCATTATGGAACTGTACATCCTTAGGAGACTGTCATTTTTATGCTGATGCAGCATATGTATTTTGCTTGTATATAGCTCTTGGTAGTTGTTTAAGCCCTTGCACGGGCTTTTGTTTACATTGGCTTGAAGGTTGCAAGTACCTTCACCGTTTTTAGAAGATATCAATTGAAGAAGATGTCATAGCATTGAGAATTTGGTGTTGGGAAGTATATCTGGATTATCCTATTACATGAAGCTATTATGATATTGTTATCTTTTGTAAGGAAAATATTATCATCTTATATAAATTTGGATATGTTGTCATATTTTGTCGTCTTTTTATAAATTTAGATGTGTTGTCATTTTTTGTAAATTTTCACTACATTTGAAGTTTTAAAAACTTCAAAGCTTATATTAATTATTCTAAATTTCTTGTAATTGTATTTTTATTTTTTAGATTTTTTATAGTTCATACATTCATATTATAATGTATTGGTGATGGTTGATTAAAGAAAAAATTATTTATATATTTTAAATGTAATATAAGATTTTTGTAGGTTCAAATTCGAGCTTGAATCGAGTTTGAATCGAGCTCGAGTCTCGAGCTTCAATCGAGCTCTTGAAATTTTTTTGAGCTCGAGCCTTTTCGAGTTCGAGTCGAGTTTCAATAATATATTTCGAGTTCGAGCTGAGCTTCATAATTTTTAGCTCGCGAGTTTTTGAGTCGAGTCGAGCCTACGTTTAAAGTTTTCGAGTTCGAGTTGAGCTTGACTCGGCTCGTTTACACCCCTAGTTTCACCAGTGAATCTTAAACAGCTTCGTAATCTCTAGCTGTGCTTATTTTTTTTTCTTCTTCTTCTTTCCGGTTTACAATCTTAATCAAATTCCTTGATAATTTGGTAATTTTTTTTTTTGAAATTTCTATAATAAGAGGAATGAAAGCGAAGAAACGAAACGGAAGCAAATGTCAGTTATTGTGGGCGACCCAATAAACACAAGTGGAGGAAGAATCGAAGATCGGTGATTGCCTGTGCCCGAGGCCGAGAAGGTTTGTTAATATTTGATAACGACACATCATACTGTGGTGGAGACACTTACATGGCTACTCATCTCTTCGCGTGCTTCCCAGACCCCATTTTCAACCGACAGCTCCGGTCCTTCGCTTGCTGCTCTTACTGGTGGTCTGTAACCCCATCTTCCTCTGTACTGTTAATCGTTTTTACCCAAATATCACCCTAACAATATACTATTTCTAACGACGTTTTTATTTAAAAATCACCTTGACAATAAATAACTATATGTCAACAATTGTTTCATCAAATTTTACTGATCTAATATTTTTTCTGACAAGACAATTCGCGCCTTTGAGGGATTTTATCTGAGTAAGCGCCACGTCATGAAAGGCACGGATGGTCATCTGCACTTTATCTGAGCAGGCATCATGTAATGAAGGCGCAGATCGTCATTCGCGCCTTTCTTGGGTATCAAACACGTGCCAATAAGACACCGATAACCATTCGCACCTTTCATTATTGGTTCCGAATTTCTCGGCCTTTAAATTCTCTCCCGCCTATAAATAACACCTCTTTAACCGTAAACATCAGCACATCAATTTCTCCTATATTTGCTTTATCAGTTTCTTCGATCTTTTGTCGTAAGTTAATTTTTTTAATATATTATATTTATTTTAAAAATTTTATTTTACTAATTATTTTCTATCATTTTTTTGCGATTGTAAAATTGGAAAATGGAATAATACGTCGAGATATTTTTACCGATACGATAACAATATAAAATTATATTATTTAAATTATTGTGAATATTTTAAATTTTTTATTAGGTTATATTTAATTCATATACTATTTATTTAATTAGGTTTATTTCAGCTATTTTTTTTTGAAGATATAAGACTGTCAATCTTTCAAACTCTCAGAATGACACGTATTTCAGTTATTGTGTACTATAATGGAGAAATTCAGAAGATGAAACTGGCGTCGTGTTCGCATCAAATCATTCTGTCAAAATATCTTTCAAGAAAAACATAACTCTTGAGCAGCTGATAACAAAGATTTCAAGGAAGGTTCATGTTGGAAGTACTAGAAGACTATCCTCACTTCAGTACAGATTTCCAACATCGGTGTTTCCGTTAACTTATACAGCATTTGAACTATCGAACGGTGACGATGTTGCAATGATAGTTGATTCTCAAAATCATTATTTAGACGCCGATACAAAGATGTATGCAAAATTTGTTGAAGTATGTATTGTTCGTGGTATGTCATTATGCTTCCACTATGGGCTGGCTCAACAAACTGATCAAGTTGACATCCCAACTATAGTAATGTATAATGATTTTAACGCCATAATAGGAAATCCACATCATGGTGCCCCTATCAAGTTCAATGGGGAGACATTCATCAACAACTTCTTACGATCTGTACCGAGATGGGTCCACAAACAATCCGTATGGCAACCTCGCATCCAGTTCAAGGGGAGGCATTCATCTTCCAATTTATTTGGCCTGAATATGGAGATGCCCTCGACTCAACAATCTGTGCAGTACCCATTTGACACGATGCCTTCAAGCTCTAGGGGAGACATTCAACTAAGAGCTTATTCGACCTCAACGGTATTCGACCACCGTTGAAATTAGGCGGGATACCTCCAAGATACTCCTCACACAAGGAATGTCAATCACCATCCGCCACACCAGAAATAACATCCCCATCTACCAGAACCTCCAAATGTATGGAAACATCCTCCAGCGTAATAATGCACTCCCCACACGGAAGATGGAATGTGAGTGTCTCTGGTCTCCACCTCTCAATCAGTGCAGAAATAAGGTTGGGTTCAAGGTTATTGTGCCCTTCATATTTCACTATGTAACCAAATCCAACATCGGCTAAATACAATTAGACACGACTTAGTATCTTTAACTTAGCATTACGAATAAATGGATCTAATATATGGTCTTCCTCTAATTAGATAAATAGTATACAAATTAAAATATAAATTAATACTAAATAAATAAATAAAATATTCACAATAATTAAAATAACACAATTTTAAACCGTTACCGTATTGGTAAAATGACTCGAGATATGATTCTCATCTAAACGCAGCAACCCGCCTTCTATTTTATAACTGCAAAAAGTAAAAAAAAATTAGTAAAGTAAAATATAATAAAATAATAAACTATTAAATGATTATAATATAATAAAAAATTACCTTCTAAAAATGATAACAAAACCTACTTAAAGTTTGATAGAAAGATTAATGAAAGGAAGAAAGAGAGTAGTTTTGGTGTAATCTGAGGGTTGTATGATGTGAGTATTTATAGGGGGAGGCGACATGCGATATTAAAGGGGTATGTGATAATTAAAGGGAGAGACATATGATTAGGATGAAACGTGCGTCTCATGATCTATACCTCTCTTACGTGTCAGAAAACCCCGCTAAGACACGATTCATGAGTCGTGCCTTTTCACCGTGGCGTCAGTTTAGACAGAACTCTAGGAAGGTGTGTTTCGTGATCCGTATCTTCCGTCCATTTATAAAAAAATGATATTAGATTGATAATATTTGAATAATAGATACTTGACAAGTAATTATTTATTGTTAGGGTAATTTTTGGGTAAAAACGCCCAATATTACGGGTTCAAAGTCTGTGTTGGCAGGGGGCTTATGCTTCCTGAAATGGCAGCGGGAAATGCGGTGAGAAACGGAAGCAGAAGGCGGGGGTGGAGTACGGAGGAGGAATCTGATGCTTCCGAAATCAGAGAGGAGACCCAATAATTACAACCCACGCCACACTCATTTTTCTGTCCCACCCCTCAATCAAATCCCTTCTATCCTCTTCCTTCACGCCATATATCTCACTACCCTTTTTACTTTTATATATATATATATATATATATATATATATATTTGAGAACAAATCATTAATTACTGAATTAATCTTTATTATTATTCATTTATATTATAAAGAGAAAAGGCATAGATAAAGCAATAGCACAACTTTACCCCAAAGATAAAGCAATTTCTGAAATGAGTTTGGATATGCATTCAAAGTTGCAAAGCCATTTCTAACATATATATATATATATATATATATATATATATATATATATATCGATAGATAGACACAAGTAAAAATTTATGTTAGAAGGGTGAATTTAAACTTAAGGAGATAAATTAAAATTTTAGGGGCGAATTAAAATTTTAAGGAGACGAAATATATTTTCAATAGAAAATACATATTTTTTTTAAATATATAATAATTTTAAAATTTTATGACGACGATTACCTACACCTACTCCGATCAATCCCTGTTAATATATATATATAATCTGAGATGTAGTTTTCATCTCATGGAATGTCCCATCAAAGCCTGAATTTTCACCATAGGTAGAGAAAAAAATTGTTGTTACCCAAAATTAGAAATCCCGTCCATATAATGCTCACCCTTCTTTCACATTGCTTGAACATACAATACAAAAAATATGTATACAAGTTCAAATTTAATTCATTATATTGACTTCAAATGCACCATCATTAATTAATGTGTTAGTATTAGCATACTTTGAAGGACATTGTCATCATCCATTACTGATTACTTCCCATGATTATCATTTTACAAATGCCAAAAAAGCTAAACAAAAATTCGTAAAGGAAAACAACAAATTAAAAACCAGTTAAACAAACACAAAGCCGCATTCCTAGTCGATAGAGCCGACTAGCCCACTGTCCTGCCCAAACACAACACTGTAAAAGTCTGCTATGTTCTCTCTCTTATGTCCCATATGACCTTCAGAACATGTTTTCCCTGTCCTATAGATTCTCTCTATTCTCCCCATATATATATATAACCCACGGCATAAACAAAAACCTATAGACTATACTTTGAAGCTTGGTTTGTTTTTGATCTGAAAATGCCAACGGATTCCGCAGATCAGAGCAAGCGTCTAAGCAAGTCGTTTAACCATGGAGCTCCACCGCCTGAACAAGAACAGCTGCCATGTCCGCGTTGCGATTCCACGAATACCAAGTTTTGCTACTACAACAACTATAACTTCTCTCAGCCTCGCCATTTCTGCAAGTCCTGCCGCCGTTACTGGACTCATGGTGGTACTCTACGTGACATCCCCGTTGGCGGTGGCACAAGGAAACACGCTAAGCGTTCACGCACCGCAGCCTCCTCCCATGTTTCTGCTACTACTACCACCACTACCGCCGCGACTAGTCATAATAACTTCCCGTTACCAGCTACGCCAGTTTTGTTGCCTATCTCGGGTAGTCAAGGGAGTTTTGGTATCGGTGGTGGGGAACCGAAGTGCAATGGTGGTGGTGGAAGTTTTACTTCGTTGTTGAATACTCAAGGGCCTGCTTTCCTGGCTCTCGGTGGGTTTGGACTTGGAATTGCTCCGGCACTAGAGGATGTTGGGTTTGGACTTGGGAGAGGAATGTGGGGCTCTTCAGGAATGGGAGATGTAGCGGCCGCGGTCGGTGGCGGGGCTGCTGGTAGTATGGGAATGGCGAACACGTGGCAGTTTGAAGGCGGAGAGACTGGGTTTGTTGGGGGCGGAGATTCCGTTTCTTTTTTTTAATCTTGCTATATCAAAGTAGATATAAGATTAGGACTTTAGTTTTTCTTCTTTAAATGGCCCAATGCCATGTGATTTGGTTTGTTTTGTCCACCTTTTTTCATTTAGTTTTTCACTTTTTCTGTCCAACAGCTTCAAGACTTTCCGCTCAAAAAAATACTAATGTAGATTGAAGAATTGCAGAACTGGCCTTTTTTACTCATACAAACAAGTAAAGCAAATTGACTGCAACCTTAAAAGGGCGTTAATTTAGCAGCTACAATAAGAAAGAAAGACAAGGGTTGAGTTGGTTATAAATGTAGATCGACATTTCGACGGAGGCAGCTGCAAGAATTTAATTGATGGTCGTTGAAAATGTTCAAAAAATCCACTTCTCGTGCTATGAACGCAACCCCCCAAAATTCCAACTTTTTCATCCCTCAATTAGTGTTCCAAACCTAAAAGCTCTGTCGGCATCTATAGTTATTGGTCGACACTCTCCTCGTGTTTCAATGCCAATCTCAGAGTCTTTACTCACGAACCGATGGCCGGCAAGGCATTGAATGGTCGATTCAAGCTATGATGAGGTGGGAATGTTTTAGAATCTTTGATCCATTTGTTCATGTCCCCTTATATCAAGGGTAAAATCTTTATGTTATCTACTCGGTCATTTATAACATATATATTTCTTCAAAAAGCTAAAGTAAATGAGTATCAATCATGTGTATTGGTAATGCTTTTTCTAATCCAAGATTAGATTAAAATGATGACAATTGTTTTATTTTTGAAATTACAATAAAAACACTGGTCGTGATCCTTATTTGTGAAAAACATCCAAAATAAAAAGTACTGAACTTTATGTCAGCCCAACAAATGCAAAAAAATAAAAAAAAACATTAGTTCAAGCCGGTTCTTTAGTTTTTTTTTTAACTTTCTTCAATAATTTTCCCTCTCTAGGGTTTAAAAAAGCAAGGTTTTTTGTTCCTCAGTTCTCATCTCAATTCCTCTACTTTTAGAACCCTAAATTTTGTTTCCAAGGAAAAACAGCAATGTCATCGTTTTTTGCAACCCCAACAACCTCAGTCATTGTTTCAACCCCAACAGCAGCAATCACCATTCCATCAAAGCAGCAGCCAATTTCCCAACCCCAACAGCAACATCAGTTACAGTTTCCACAGCAGCAGCAACAACAACAGCTGCAGCAGCAGCCCCTTTTTCTTTTTACTAATGACAAGACTCCTGCTAATTACAACACCAAATGGGCTGATCTGCATCCTGATTCTCAAAAGTTTCTGCTTCAAATTGAGTATGTTTTCAATTCTTCTTAATGGATTTTGTTTTGGGTTCTCAAAGAATGATTTTTTACTCTGTCGTGATTAATTAAAAAAAACATGATTTTTCATGCCTTTTGATATTTTTATAGTGTTTTACCTGGAAAAGTCCGAGATATAAGTTTCATTTGCTGATCTGGTTTATGGGCTGTGCTTGGATATTGATATTTATTATTGTTATATGGCATTGGCACCCTTAGTAGTAAGTAGTGTGATTGTATTACTGGAATGTATGGAAAGGATATTGGAGTAGAGAGATGAAAGCCAAAGGTCAGATCAATGTAGTCGCCTCCATGATTCTTCGGTTTCGAATGAAGGGTTTGAGCATGATGCTAGCCACATCGTTCAGGTTTAACCTTTGCTTTCCGTTTCATATGAACTTGTGCTGTTGTTCTTGCTTTCATTTATGGTTTCTCTTTCTGTCAAACTTTTCCTGTTTCTTTAGACATTGCATTGAGCCACTGATAGAGAAGATGAGCTTTAATTATGTAGTTCATTCTTCTTGTGCTTGTTCACTTCTCATATATTTTAATTTGGTGAATAATCAGGAATGCTTTATTATTCAACATGAAACTATTATATGATGCCCTTATTGTGGTCTTAAGTAAATAAAAGTATTAAGTGATAAAAAGTAGATACCCTTGTTGTGAATATTTAGACTAGCTCAAAGTTCTAATCTAATTTTACTTTAGATGTATTGTTTTCTCTTTTTGTGGAGTGGCTTACGTTCCTTTCATGAAACTAAGCTACTCCATGTTCTGGATGATGGTTGAATCTATAACCATGGGTGGTTCATCAATTTGTTACTATTGCAAATACAGAAACAAGTTGTAAACTGTTAGAATGGTTGCTTCCTCTCTCATTAAGTGAGGGTGTTCAACATTTAAAAGTTGTTTTGGAACTCATTGATCTGAATTAGTTTAGGTCTTATCCCCGTGCTAGTTTTATGAGTTCAAGAAGAAAAGATCTCCAAAGTTTCCGTTTTGGACCAGTCAGTGGACCCCCCCCAAAAAAACTATGAAATATTTCCTGTCTGAATGATATGTATAACAAGTCATCAGTTTTGAAACATTTTCCCTGTCATTTTCCTGTTGTGGTGCTTTGCATCGGTGGATAAAATGGCATGGTTGTTTTCAACAGGAACTTGGAGGAATCACCACTGCCATGGAGAGGCAGAAAGCTTTTCTGCAGGAATTGATGGTTACTGCAAAAGATATGTTAAGGAACACAGAGGTTGCCGTTCGTTCTTTCATGATGCTTCGGCCATGGTTCCTTCATTCAAACACAGGAGGCGCTTCAAATGCATTGCACCATCCCAGGCTCCAGGGGCAGCAACGGCATCAGGTTCAAGTGCTCAACCAGCTGCTACAAGCATGGTACCCGTTTTTTATTTTTACCATGGGCTTCCCAATAAGCCATCTCCATTTCTACAGTATACCGTTGCTAGATTTGAGAAATATTTGGGTGAGTGCCGCCAGTGGATTGAAGAGTTGGAACAGCTTCTCCTTTTGAATAAACTTATCAATCAAGCATCCTCTTTGTTGCAATCTCTTCCAAAAGTCATGTCTAATGTTCAAGACTTTTTTGTTCACGTGGCTGCCAAGGTAAGGAAGATGCTTGTACTTGTATCATTCTATGCAGAGTAATGCTTTGTCTGATTGGCAGTACGCTTATGGTTGTATGTTAAGGAGCAGATATATTTCTTGTTTGAAAATTTATTTACTGAAAATGAGTTGAGACCAGGGTTTTTCTAATGTCTTCTTATATAGTCTATCTTTTATGTTTTATCGTAGTCATACATGCATTCAAAATATGATCTTAAATTTTACTTTTTACTTGCACTCTTAACACGTGTCCAACCCCACCCAAAACAAAACACAGAAGAAAAAAGATTTGACTTGTCCTATGACTGTTTTGTAGGCGGAGAGCATTCATCAATACATTGAATCAATGAAAACAGCATATCTTGCTGATCACCGTCGCCGAGGAGATGTTAATGGTCCTTTTCTTGAAGCTGATCGGAGAGAAACTGCTAAGCAAGAAGCTGCTGCTAAGAGGGTACATCCAACCTTGCATTTACCTGCAAATTCTTAACCATCAACTCAGGTTGCTGGGTTGCTTGCTGGCTCAGCAGCCACTCCTGCAGCAGCCTCTGCCCCTCAGATATCTGCAGCTCCATCAGCAGCTTCTTCAGGAGGTGGACTGTCTCTTTTTAGTACACCGTCTTCCACTCCTGCTTTGTCCATGTCATCTTCTCTGTTTGCAACTCCAACCACTGGTGCTTCCATCCAAACATCCCTCTTCAGCTCCTCATCAGGATCTCTCTTTGGATCTGCATCTACTCCCTCTCTTTTTTCTAGTACCACATCAGCTTTAGGCTCAACTGCATCTGCTGGAGGTTCTTTTTCAATACCATTTGCTTCGGGTACCTTCCTATGCTATTATGCTTTCTGCAATCACTTCTTTCTGTTTTCAAGTAATCTCATTTGCAGGTCATGCTTAGCATTTTTGTTTTAGTTAGCCACCCTGTTTTGACATGATAGATTTTAATCTAATCATGTTGTGCTGTCTGACTGATTTTTCTATTTTCCAGGTGCTCCAACGGGATCTAGTGCTAGCTTCGGGGCTGCATCTGTGAGTAGAGTGTTCTCTTGGTTTTCGGTTTTTCTCTTTTTCATAATTTTCATAAAGAATGTTCATGTGTTCAAAGAATACTAAAATTCCGAGTATGCATCAGTCGGCATTGTCACATGAATCAATTATATTTCTCATAACTAACCTAACCGATGTGTGTTCTTGTAGAAATCATCAAGGCCAAAATCCCGAACATCCCGGCGCTAGTCATAGCTTTAATATGGAAATCACAGAACTGCTTTCTGTTTACAAAAATTATCCTTTGCGCGACAGTTCTTCTGCCCATTGTATTACATTAAAGTGCAGTGTCATTAGCTCTGGAGTTGAAGGATCCTGTAGGCTTGTTGGTGTTATCCAGAACAAAAAGCAAAGATGCTAGCTATGTGAAACATCCTAATATCTTTTGCAGGCTTTTCAGCATTGATTAAAGTGCTACAAGATCATTATTACTGTAACATTGTAGAACACATTGTAGAAAATTTTCTCTTTCGAGAAATAAGATTTGAAAACTATTATTCCTGTTTGAAGATATTAAACATCTTGGTTAAATCACATTTAATCAGGTCCCTCATCTCTCTCATTTCTGCCACATCTTACCTTCTCTCTGTTGCAGCATAAAGATTTGGAAGCAAGATACGAGTTCCACTCTTGAGTCGACCATTAAAACCTGATAGCCGCATGAACTCCTTTTGAACTTATGTGCCTCGTCTAATAATGCAGCTTGACAAAGTAAACTCGACATGTAAGAATAGTGCTTGGGTCTTGCAGTGCAGCCATTTTCCTTCATGTTTTAGGATCTCCTCAAATAGCTTAACTGCATCTTCTGCTACGCCCCAAGCGTTGCATTCCAACACTTGAAATCAGGGTAAAAACCCAATGAAAATATGGATTTAGCAGCTTGAAGGTTTCTATTTCTGGCATACATGTCAATCAGACTACCACAAACAGACATTTCAACTTCGTACCCAGATTTTATAGCCTGAGAATTAACCATCTCACCTTGTTTCGGCATTGCTAGGTCAGCACAAGCGCTTAATGCTCCTCTGAAGACAAAGCTATCAATCTTATACCCCGTAATGACACATTTGAACCAACAATCTAATTGCACTCTCCCCATCAGCCATTCTATAATAAACCCATAAAACCAAAGAATCACATCTTCCATCAAGATTATACTAGAAACCGCCTCAGCAGATTCACTGTCACCGTTTTCGAAATAAATGAGATCGTGAGCGTTTCCTATGAAAACACTACTTTCCAACCCCGATCCTGTGATTTGACCATGCAGAGGCTTCCCATATGCATGGAATGGACTAGTTGCAGAAATGAAAGCAGCAAAACTGTATTTATCAGGACTTGAGAAAAGTCATTCTCTTCAAATCAAGGTTTTCACTCGTACAAAAAAACACCTTCAACCCCATTTCAATACCACCACAATTGCAAATACATGTTAAGCAAGGCATTTTGCAAAGTAAATGGAGTTGGAAGAACCCCAAACTTAATCATGCCAAAAAAAAGGGAGCCAACCCAGCCCTTCTTTCATCCTCAAGTTTCCATATACTGCAGAATTCCAAGCAACAACATCCTTTACCATTTATGCAAGCAAAAATTTGTGACACCATTAGGTCTTTAAACACTCGAAACCCATCTGATGAACCAATCCAAAGGCTAAATTAGCATGGTTTGGAGTTCGATAATAAGCTGAGATGAGCACATTGTATAATTGAATTTGTTTGCAGAAAACTTGAAACAAGCTTAAATTGGATTTTTTTTTTTACTTTTATAAATGCAATATCAGGATTGATAAAAGTGGGAAAAATGTCTCCTCCTTCGCTAACTGAGTCTGAGTTTTCCCGTATCTGCCGTCTGATCAACGATTCGCTTCTCCAGTTCACCGTACGTTCCTTTCTTCTCCAAAATTTCAATCTCCATTTCATTTTCTCTCTCTTTAATTTCTTATTTATTTTACAATGTCAGGAATCGGAGAATCTCTCTCTCAGCAAACAAGAAGAGAAAAACCTCCTTCTCATTCTGTCTCAGGTTCCCCTCTCTTCTCTTTCTCTCAAATTCCTACTCTGAACCTCCTTTCATTACTTAACTCTAATCTCTGGTTCTGTTTTCAGGTCTCAAACGAAACTCGCCGCTTGATTCAGTCGACTAAAACCTCTTCTTCATTAAACCCTAACTCACAAAACCACCACTGTTTATCTAAAGCAATATCCCACTTGGTAATTTTTTAATATTCTCTCTTTCATTTTTACAGTTTTTATTGAATCCCCAAATCGCTAAATAGCATGGTTTCTCAAATATTCTTTTCAGGTTACTTTGTTAACTCTGGAAAGCCGATACATTCAACATTTAGCTGGCAATGTTCTCGTAACCCTCTCTGAATTTCTAGCCTCATCTGTATGTTAATCAAATTTGCAGATTAAAATTTTAAACTTTGTTTTTCTTTTTCCTTCTTTTCATTTTCTTCCCTTGTTATTGCAGGTAAGAAGCTGGGAATTTTTTATCCGTTCGCTCTGTATTTGCCTTGAATTATCAATTTTGAACATAACTTCGTGTTCCTTTGAACCTTCAATAACTGGAGTTGGGGGTTCCGGTTCTGACATATTGAGTGTCGTAGTTTTGTTTAAGCCTAAGTTGAAAAAGACTAACTTGTTTGCAGTAGCTGCAATTATTCGAACATTAAGAAATATGCTGAAATTTTTGAAGGAAGAGTGTGATGATGAGCTTGTTCTAGTGTTTTTAAATTCGATAAGCTCTTACGTTTTGAATGTGCCTTGGGATTCAATGGATGAGATCTTTTGTGGAATTGGTGGTGAAAAGGATGAGCCTAGGAATTTGTTTTTGGGGAATTTTGTTCAGTTACTATGTTCTTTTGTAGAGCAATTTAGTTTTGCAGAAGGATTAGTTGATTCTGTAGATAAGCATGCAATTCTTTCCAAAATTATCAACCTTGTACCTAAACTTCTATCTTGGTGCCTTGGCAAGAAAGCTGTCTGTAACAACATTTGCATCTCTCGGTACTTCAAACACAAATTATTGGTATGTGAATCTGGATGTTTTGATGCTACTCAGATCTGTTTTACTTTTGCACATAAGCAGTTTAATTTCATGAACTTACAAAATAAAATTGCAGGTTTTGATGATCAGACTTAGTTTTCAAATACCCCTAGATGGTTTGGTCCTTGTTTCCTGGTTGCAGCTTCTCCATTTTTACTTTGAAGACCTTTTATGCCAACCTTTAACTGAAGTTGAGAATCAAGATGATTGTTTAGAAGGTTCTCCTTTTATGTTAAGTTATTCTGATGGAGAAGTACATGATATGCAAGCTCGCCATTTACAAAGACGGGCCGTTTATCTTTTCTTGAGGTGTTCATCCCGTTTGATAAATCCAGCCAAAGATGCTAGCAAGCATTATCCTAGTGATGCAATTTCGGAGTTGAGTTGTTATGGAAGAAAGAAAGGTTTATCAGAGCTATATGCTTGGCTTTCTAGACATGTTCCAGTCAATGAGCTTCTTATCCATGAAACATACAGGGAGAAGTCCATTAACTTTTCGTCTTCCCTCCTCAAGCTCTATATACATGAGGTATGTTCCCTGCAGCATTAGAAACTTTGTTAAACACTATAAGGTTATATGATTGTATGTTGTTCATTGTCTCTATGTGCGTTCCTTTTCCTAAAAATTATGCTGCATTATTATCGTTATTTTGGTTAGTATATTGCAATTATTTGTGTGTAGTTGCTGTATACTAGTTGTTTGTTTTTCTTTTTAGGGTGCCATTTTTTTTAATTCCCTGTTTTTCTTAGGATGACATATTATTCAAATTGCTCTTGGAACTACTTTCTCTACAAGCTTGTGAAGAACAACAGTGAGCCAATATCCATGTTCTTACCTAATTTTTTAATGATTTTTCTTTGAACTGTTTCTTGGTTTGTCTACAGATTTCACAAAGAAAGACAAGCAGCCGAAGATGAGACAATAGATGTAGAAAGACAGGCAGCTGAAGATGAGACGATAGATGTTCTTTTTCATGTTACAGATATTTTTAATCCGATACACCTATTTCATCTGTTCCTCGCAGAGGCAAGTCCTTTACTTCCTAATCTTGCTATAAGCACCCCAGGCTCCATTTTCATTGTCCATCAATAAATATGTTACTGAGAAAATTGGTTCTATTTCTTTTATTTGAGTAGATCATTGAACTTTCAAAAAGAAAAGAGTAGGTCATAAACGATCCTTAATGTTGTGTGTTTCGGTTCACTATCTGCAGTTGCACTATGATCATCAAGTTCTTCTCGATTATCTCATCTCCAAAGACACAGGAATTAGTTGCGCAGAGTATCTCTTAAAGTATGTATTTTATCTTTTGTCTATAACATGTTTCTTAAACTTGGGAATACAAAGTGGCATAATAAGACGACTATTTTGTTCATTTCCTTTTAATCTGATTCAATGTAACTTTTTCATACTTTTTGTGGTGTGGGTTTTTGTTTATTCTGTAGGTGCTTGCGCATCGTATGTGATTATTGGCAAACATTTACTGAGTTTTCAGTTTATGAGAAACAAAGAAATCAATTATCTGACAAGAGAAGAAAAATTTTGTTGGAAAGCTCCAATTTTAAGACAGAGCCTTCATCTGGACCTGTGAAAACGGAAACTTTGTCCATAGAGAAGAAATTTAAAGGTGACATTGAATGTGGACACGTGAAAGAAATGTATGAGCTAGCCAAGGATTGTTTACTCTCTCTGAAAAAATCTGTGGGGAACCTTCACCGGAAGAAATTGTTTCCATACAACCCGGAAGTGCTTCTAAAACGGTGCTTCATATTCCTATTATGATTAGTTTTCTTTTGTCAATGCAATAAAGCTCTTCATATGCTCATAAAACATTTGTCTCTTGTTTTGGTTGCAGCTTAACAAGATTTCAGGAACTATGCTTTAAAGAGTAGGATGAATACGTCTGAGGAATGAAAGGCCTAGTCAGGAAACTGAGCTCTCATGTATTCTTTTAACTTCTACCTTTTTCTTTTGTCAAAACATGTGATGCAAATTAGACAAGTATTATTGATGATTCTTGAACTTCAGCAGGTAAAGATGCAATGATGTACCAAAAATTATAATTTAGTTACAATCTTTCAATTTTTCCCAACATTCAAGTTAAGGAGAAGGATATTTGAACCGGTCTTGTTCTAGTCTTGCAGCATGACTATGACCTTGGTATCACTGTTCATTTAATGAGAAGAAGAAGAAGAAACATTCCAAACGGATGCTTAGGAGGCAACTTAGGACAACTCCAATAATTTAGAGATATGCTGATTATAAGATTACAAAGGGAAGCGATTGAAGGTGTTCCATAGTGGTAGAGAGAGAACTAAAAGAGATGGAGAAGAAAGAGGGTCATTTTGTTCTAGTTCATGAAGCCTTCCATGGAGCTTGGTGTTGGTACAAAGTGATAGCTCAGCTTAAATCAATGGGCCACAAGGTTACAGCTTTGGGTGTGGCTGGTTCTGGGATATTCATCGAATTTCCGATTACTTTGAACCATTGGTCAACTTCATTGAATCGCTCCAACCTGATTCTAGTATGCACAGAAGCTGCCATGAAAATGGAAAGATTCCCTAAAAAATTAGCTGTTGCAGTGGCATAAGTTGCTATGATTCCCACTGCACATCCTAAAAACATACAGTCATTACTTATATAGACAAAAGCTAAAGCTAGTTTTGTTAAACTCTAATTGTTATTGAATACTACAAATTATGTAGCAGTGAATATTACAAAATGGACCGAATAAAGGAGCGGCCCTCAAACTTGACATGGAAAAAACATATGATAGAGTTGAAAGGAAATTTGTTACAAATGTGATGGGTAAAATGGGGTTTAGAAATTCTTTTATTCATCTCATTTTTCAATGTATTTCTACTGTCCTATTGTATTAGAATTAACGACAAGCTTTTAAGGATTTTCAAATCGGAAAGGGGACTTGGACAAGGAGATCTCCTGTTTCCATACCTTTCCTTATTTTGTTCTTAGGGATTATCAGCTACATTTATTGCCGAGCAGCGATGCAGCTCTATCAAAGGAGTTCGAGCAAGTATTCGAGGTCCAAGAGTCGAGCATCTCTTTTGTACATACAATCGCCTGCTCTTTATAAGAATTCCATGCATTAGGCCAAACGTGTTAAGGAAGTTCTGGATATGTACGAGTCGTCTTCTGATCAAAAAATCAACTTTGATAAGTTTATGATCTACTTCGGTGCAAAGACTAGAGATGAAGATCGAAGCACCATTGCAACTGTCTTGGGTGTACACGAACAATTTGAGTCGGGTATGCATCTTGGACTTCCTCTCACATTGGGACGAAATAAGCTTAATGCATTCGGCTTCATTCGAGACAAAGTGGTTAAAAGAATTCAAGGTTGGACCAATAACCTTCTTTCCTTTGGTGGAAGGGAGGTCTTTGTCAAGTCGGTTGCACAAGCCCTTCCGACGTACGTCATGTCTTGCTATCTTCTTCCGAGCGGGGTGATTGACTCGATTACATCGCACATGCAGTCTTTCTGGTGATCGGTAAAGTAAGATGCTCAGGAATGGCCGTTAATTGCTTGGAACAAAGTTTGTAGGGCTAAAAGAGATGGCGGAATGAGATTTCGAGATCAAACTTTTCAATATAGCACTATTGGGAAGCAAGTATGGAGATTTTTGCACAAACCGGTATCACTGCTTTTCAGTATTTTCAAATCCAAATACTTTCCTCAAGCATCGTTTCTTGATGCAAAGCTTGGGAACAAGGCTTCATTTGCGTGGTCTAGCATTTTTCAAGTCAAGGATGCACTCAAAGACGGATTCTTTTGGAGAGTGGATTTCAATGGCCACTCACGTGTTCATTTGTCCTTTGGGGAGGATCAAACTCGATCCACTTATCCTGCAGCTACGTCGATAACGAAGACAAACCCCTTAAATGCAAGGATCTCACGATCCAATGAGTTCCGAGATGGGATCTGGACAAGGTTAAAAGAATTCTACAACCTCAAGATGCGCAAGCCATCCTTGGTGCTGAGATCTCTCCGATTGAAAGTGATCATCTCATTTGGGAGCATCATAACACGGGCTGCTACTCTACTAAATCTGGACATAACTGGCTTTTAATGTTTGCTGGAACAGAGCGTGATCACTCTCCTATTTGGAGATCTATGTTGAAGCTTCTCACTCTCCCGAAGATCAAGTATTTAGCTGGAGGGCTTGCCATGAAGCGCTGCCCACGGGGATCAGGTTAGCGACTGCAGTTCCGGGCTATAGTTTGTGTCCAATGTGTCAACAAGAGGAGGAGACTGTGATAAATGCGCTTAGGGACTGTCGGCTTGCAAAATAGATTTTGGTGCTCTCAGGTTTGCCAAAAAATGTCATAGACTCTAGGACCTCAAGTTGCAAGGAGTGGTTTGAAGATTCTACCTCAAAGATGGATAGAGACAGTCTCGCGAGGTTTGCGGGGCTCCTTTGGAATATTTAGAATCGTAGAAACAAATGGATACACAAAAATGATCTTCAGGAAGTTTGAGGTTTTTAACGCGGCCTGGGTGCCATGAACCGGTTATAAAGAGGCAATGGGAAATATGCCTATAGCCCCCCGTCAATGCGGGCTGCCTTCGGACCAAGAAGTGGAGAAAACCAGAGATTAATTGGATCAAAATTAATGCTGATGATGCCTTCTTTACTAGCACTAGAGAAGTGGCTGTTGGCATTGTGGACTGCGACCACCATGGCATGGTTGTTGATGGGGTGGCGAAAGAGATGGATAGAACAATTACAGCAGAATATATTGAACCCCTGGCTTTTACGAAAGGCATACGCATGGCGATGGAAAACGGATGGGATCAAGCGATAATTGAAGGGGATGCAATATCCATTGTGAACCGCTTGACTAACCAACATGAAGACAATTTGGTTACTGGATTGTTGCTCGACGAGGCACGCTCACTTGCTACTTGTCAGGACACCAAACATCAAAGTTCATTACGTCAACTGCGTAGCAAACCGAGGGTTGCACACACTCTTGTTGATTGGGCTTTATCGATAAACAATCCTTTTTGGGTTTTTCATGAAGAATCAAAATGTATAAAAAAAACGATATAATTCTTGATGCTATTGCATTTGAATAAATCCACCTTTTAAATTTCAAAAAAAAAAAAAAAAAACTTAAGTCCCCAATGATTGAAATGATCATAGCAATGTATTCTTTTAGCAACTTTCAGTTGTTTTTTTTAAAGAACTTTGTAACTTACTATGTAATTATTTTTAAAAGTTAGATGAATTATAGAATTCATATATAAATTTTTAACAATTTATGTAATTATGTAAAATGCAACGAATGTAATAGAAAAGTTAAAATATTATAACATTTTTCGTAATTATGAATTCGACTGAAAAACTATTCAAAATTTGTGAGTAATTATAATAAAATTAAAGAAGTATATAATTTGTTAGATATTTATTAACAATTTTTTTAATTTTTTAAAATTATTTATAACTTAAGAATTTTAAAATAATTTTTATAATAACGCATAATGTTATTTCACTTCCTTAAATAATCAAAAGGAAAAACATTCAAACTTTGTGAGTAATTACTATAAAATTAGATAAACCATAGCATTTATTAGAGACTAACGTAAAATGTTACAGAAAAAAATTAAAAATCTTAAAACAATTTACGGTATTACGTATAATGTCATTCCATTTCCTCAAATAACCAAAATAAAAAGTATTCAAACTTTATGAGTAATTACCATCAGGTTAGAGGAACTACATAGTTTATTAGAGATTTATTAGCAATTAATGAAATTATTACAAAAATTACAGCAAAAAAATGATGTAACAATTTTCGTAATTGCATAAAAAAGTAATTTTTTAGAATCATTGAATACAGTGACGAATCCTAAAATTTTTTTAGAATAGACACATATTATCCACGTAAAATTTTTAAATAGATCGAGTACAAATGATCTTTTAAGTCTTACGTTTTTGTTTTGTTGTAACTTTTAGTTGTTTTGAGAAGTTAGAAAACTCACTGAAAACGACCATAAAGTGACGATTGTTTTGAGGTCAGCAGATTTGAGTTGCCGAAGCCGCACATAAGTTTGAGATAAATTGGCTACCGTATGTCAAAGGGAAGCCGTTGACGTTGTTCCGTGGTGTAAGAGAGTGAACCAAGAAGAGATGGAGAAGAAAGAGGGTCACTTTGTGCTGGTTCATGGAGCCTGCCATGGAGCTTGGTGTTGGTATAAAGTGATAACTCTTCTCAAATCGATGGGGCATAAGGTTACAGCTTTGGACATGGCTGGTTCCGGGGTTCATCCGAAGCGGTTCCATTCTTTTGTCGATTACTTCCATTGATGAGTTTCATGGCATCACTCCAACTAGAGGAGAAGCTGATTCTAGTAGGTCACAGCCTGGGTGGGTAAAGCATATCAGCTGCCATGGAAAGATACCCTGAAAAAGTTGCTGTTGCAGTATTTGCCACTGCTTACATGCCTAGTTCAAGTCTCCCTTGTCAAACTCTTTCTCAACAGGTGCATGCTTTTCCGCATTTCTTACCAGATTGGTTGTCTGGTTCTTAATCTCAACTCCCATTAATACTGTTTTTTTTCTGGGACAGTTCAATGAAACATTGGATTCCGACAAGACCATGGACACAGAATATGTGTTCCCCAATGGAATAGATAGGCCTCCAACTTCACGAATCTTGGGGCCTAATTTCATGGCATCCAATTTATACCAGTTATCCCCACCTGAGGCTAGTTCAAGTTCAATCAATAACCCTTCATCATTTTACATATTTCTTTTTCAGTTTTTAAGCATCCCCATTGTTTTGTTTGTTTAGGGGTCAGGATTTAACGCTTGCACAAACTTTAGTCAGACATGTTGGCCTCTTCAACGATGAAGAGTCAATCTAGGCTGTTGCAGTCACCAAGGAGAAACATGGATCGATTCGTCAAGTTTTCATAGTTTGCGGCAAAGATCGTATCATAAAAGAAGAATACCAAAGGTGGATGATTGAAAACAATCCGCCGGACGAGGTAAAGTCAATTCCGGGCTCGGATCATATGGTCATGTTTTCAAGACCCGATGAACCGTGCTCTTGCCTTCAAGAAATTCCAGACAAATATACTTGACAGAGTCATTGATGAGCTATTACTCTCACTACTTGGAATGTGCTCGACTTCACTGTTAACCGTTAAGTCTTCTTGACTGAAGCAGCTGAAATAAGATGAATAAAGGTCAAAACTTCCATTCTCTTCTACAATTTGGAATAGCTGGCGATCTGGAAAGTTTTGCTGCAATCTTATTGAATTCAACTTTTTTGATCAATCATACACTAAGAATTTATTAGCCATGCGTGGTAAAATGTTTGAAAAATTACGAACCATTGATGGATATATATATATTTTAGTAAATATATAGAACTGAATCATTTTCATAATCTTCAAAATCCTTGGTCGAAACTGCTAACTAATCTAAAATTTAGTAGAAAATTTCATTGATACTCGACGGTTATGTAAACAAATTGCATTTGGGTAAAATCAGAAACTTTTATTTAATTTTTTTCAAATTTTTTATTAACATTGTATTTACAATTAAGATGTACTATCATTTCACGTAAAAATTAATTAAAATAATGTACTTCAATTTTAATTACTTTGGAAATTCAGACATCATATACGATACGAATATAGCAAACACAATTCCGACACGTAGGGTTGAGTTCATTTTAAGTAATAGGATTGTACAGTGAATGATGGCATGATATTTACAAGCTGATAGATTCGAATTATGCACATTGCTATTATACCTTTAACCCTGCCTGTCTGCTTCATTAGCTTTCATCTGATCATCGCTGTGCTTTGTTACAAGTTCTATTCATGCATTTAAGAATATCTCGAGTAGTGGAACGGTTTTTACCCGAGTGCTGCTTAGTCCGGTAATCAGCTGAGCATGGTTGGATGCCCACTGTGGAGCATCCTCTTGATCATGTCCATTCCGAATGCAGAATCTGATGAACTGAGTCATGGCAGCACAATATTAACTCACCATTTCTAAACATGTTCCTCATTGAAATTTCCTAACAAACAGAGATGAGAATGGCAACAACAGCTCATCAAAACAAAAGCCAGAGATCCAGCGCCACTCAATAGAACCTACTCTACTTGACCAATTTGACTAGAGTTATTTTTCGCACGCTTAGTTCAAATATCTCAATTGGAAAAATGAGAACATCAACATAAAGCAATCAGTTTCAGTTAAAACCTAACTTCATAACCATAAGAAGTTCTCCAAATGTCTTCCACAAATCAAAACACTTGATATATATATAAATATATATAGAGAGCAAAATCACTCTCTGACCTCCGCTATAGATATAATACTTTTATCATCTCTTGCTTGTATTAAACGAAGTGTCAAGCATCTTACATCTACCACAAGCAAGAACTCGTCACATTGGAATCAAGTGGGAAGGATAATGGAACGCTAGACAGAAAAATGAAAAAATATATTTTTTTTTCTTTTTTGAATGAATGATTGAAGACAGAAAAATGAATATTAAGCTACTGTTTTCAAGAAGTAAAGCCTATTAGGTGTTACCAAAGAAACCGAATAAACTGAACCATAATGTTTGGATGGTTAATGGTTCACAAGTTTAAAAACCACAACTGGATGAGGATAAATACTATTAATAGTAGTGAAGAGAGGGAGGGGGGAGATTTACAAGTGTTGCTTTCAACATTAACAGCTTACTCAAGCAAAAACCACTCAAATGTATTTACGTACCATGCATACTCTGTAGCAGAGGACAATAAGAAACAAATTTTACTAGATTAAAAAAGAATCTCACTTCTGTTTTATTCCTAATCTGAGTTGGAATCTGCTTTTAGATTCAGCCATTAAAATCTTTAATAATTCATCATTGGGCCACTCATTTATTTCATAATCTTCTTAGACATAAACTCATTCGTATTATTTGAACTTTACAACTAGATATAATAAGATTTTGACGAGAAACACCAAAGTTCTGGTGCAAAAGAGCAGAACAAATAACAATGCAACTTTCCACTACCATAATTCATCTTACAACTAACCTGAAAAAAAAAGTAATGAAGAGGAAGCTGACCTTGGTATGGTAATTTCATATGGAAAATAGATGACACCCTCAGATATAGGCGGTAGATGGTCCTTCTTCTCATTAACAAACTTTATTATTTGAAACAGAACCTCTCGAAGAGATGCTTCAACCATCACTCTATGAGAACTTCTCTCCTCATTAGCACTCTCTATTTTAATGAACATATATAACCATAAATGAAGAAGAAAATAAAATTAGTTTTCAAAGAAAGTACAGACAATTTACAAAATTTTTTAAAATCGAGGCTTTAAGCATGGTTTTACCTCTGGGGTCAACGACCACTTTGGTATGATGAGACTTGCTTGAATGGCGTTTTGGGTGTTGAATCACATTCAAATTGACATACCATTGCTCCCAATATAAGCGTTCGGTTTTGTTAGCGAACCAAGATGGCTGCTTGCTTTTCACCTCATAAAACGATAAGCATATCTGCACCGCAAGAGAAAAACTCATATTCGAAGCAAGATGCATGCTAAAATGTAAAAGGCAATGACCGTATACATCCCGCAACATAAGTGAAAATCAAACCTTAACATAAAATAAGAAGCAATGGTTGCTATATTCTAAATGAGTTCGCAAGAACTATAAGTGAAGTGGAGATAACAGACCTGACTTTTCTTATTGGGATGTTTTTCCACCCAACTTACGAAATGATCAATCTTCTCATCTATTTTCTTCTCAAGTTCCACATCCCCACATTGCACCTACTTGTTACAAATGCGAATTCGGGGAAAATGCAAAACACAGATTTCAAACGCTAGTGAAAAATCAGGAAACAGAAGCGGTAATTTTGATTGGAAAAGTAGAACTGAAAACATGAATTACTCACGTAAGTAATTTCAAAAAGCTCCAAATCAACATCTTTGGGCCGAAGTAGACCTAATGCTCTATGAAACACAATAGTATGTAAAATGCCTGCCATTATGAATTTAAAAGGGAAAAAAATCTTTAACTGCTCAAATAAATCAAATAAAAACAACTGAAAACCCCCCGGGGAATTTGATAATCAAAATTCATTATGAAAAAAAGGAAAATATAGAAATCGAACAGTTAACTTACAACGCAAAACTTCGCGAATTTCGAAATGCTCCACTTTCTAAATAGAATATTGTTAAATTTAGCAAAAAGTGATGGAACTTTTCAATCAGAAGCATAAATAGAGCTTTTCAATTTGAAAGAGTGAAAGAAACGGTAAAGAGAAAATTTTGATTACCAGTTCTTTGAGTTGACAGACTTCGCAGTTCATGATGATAGTTTCAAGAGGGAAACCCAAAACAAACGAATAGAAAAAAAAAACAAAGAAGATTGGATCGATCAAACCCTAGATTTCGATCGTAGATTGTTTTACTTTAGAGAATCCATCTTTTAATCGACGAGAGTCCTCCTTTTACTTTGTTTAAGCTTGGGTAAATCTCTTTTCTTACTTTTCTTCCTTTCTTTTGTGGTTTTTGAATAATAAAATTTAAATGGCTTACGTAAAAAAGTAATATAACTTGTTTACTCCTACTCCGAGTACTTAAACGGCGTCGGTTTCCCGATTAAAAGAGACGGGCTTATTGACGGGCCGTACCAGCAGGCCAGAAGTAATTGTCGATATGGCCTATGGGTTATTCTGTTGGGTCTTTTGTCCCAAACGCTCTATAATGACTAGACTCCAGTTTCAGGGTTTTTTTTCTTTTGCCCAATAGGGCAACCCGGAATTTTTTTTAGTAAAATAGGACACAAATATTTTTATTTTGGGTCTACGTTATTTTCTACAATGTTCATGAAACTTATCACGTCGAGTTGATGACTTTTAATAAAACATATTTTTTTTATTAAATTTTATCATATTGAGATAAAAAGTTTGAATAAAAAATATTTTTTTATTCAAACTCATCACCTTGACATGATGAGTTCCAAGTCATTGTAGCAAATGTCATAGATCCCAAAATAAACTTTCATATGTCCTATTGAACTATTTTTTTGGGTTTTGGTATATTGGGTCAAAAAAACCTTAATTTCACTTAGTTGTGGGACCCGACTCGACCCGACTCAGTACCGATCTGTTCAAGGGATTCCGTTTAATAGGATTCGATTTGAATGTTCGGTTCATTGATTCAGTGTGAATGTATCATTTATTGGGTTCTATTTGGACGCAGTTTGGTTCATAGGTTTGATTCGAAATTGTTGTTAGAGTCTTGTTAAGAATAAATTTTGATCGGATTAGATCAGCTTTGATTTGAATTCGCATAAGTAAAACAGTGAAGAGTGTAGAAATTAATATTCTAATAATTTTTGTTGTTGTTTTAACCCATTATATTTTTTAAAGAAATATATATATATATATATATATATAATTGAAGTGATTAATAAGAGGAAGGATTATTTAAATTCATTTATAAAGTTATATCATCGTCTGATTCATTAATATTATAAAAAAAGATTATACCCACTCTAAGATCAAATATTGTATTGGTTATACCTAGATCAAGAGATTGGGTGGACTCGTGAACAGGTTCGCTTGGTGGTTTGGTTTAGTGGTTCGGCTCCGTATCTTCCTCAATTAATGATATGGTAAAATATAATTTACCAAGTTTCTATCAAAAGGGCCCTCGTCAGTCTGTTTATTGTGATTCTTGATTTGATGCGTCTCCCCTATGTTTATCTTGTTAGTCTAAGCAATTACCAATTATAAATTTAGATGGCAAGGGTTCTTCAACATTGCCGTATAAAATTTTCTAGAGAGAATGTTTGAAACTTAAATTCTACGTTAGGAATCAGTCATTTCCATCACGGATTTGGTTTTTCGAATAAACCAACAACACAATTTCCCTATGTCCGGACACTGATACAAACACAAGAAAGCTCAAGTCTGAGGTTATAATTGATTTGGTTAAATGTTGATAGTATACTAACAACCTGTTGATTTAGTGGGATGAGACATTAGATTTTTTTTTTTAATTGAAAGAAACTAAGCAAAGCTTAGGTTACGGGCAGAGAGGAGATTCCTTCTCTATCAATGGAAAGGAGAGATTCCACAGCTTGAGGGGGTATTTCATAAAGCACCATCTGCGCCACAGAAGACGGGGCCATTTTTGCAAGCGAATCAGCTACAATGTTTGCACCACGGGGGATCCAGATTAGGCGAGTGCTCGATGTTGTCTACGCAAGGTAGTGATGGCACGAACGAGGGAAATTGGACTGTTTCCTGCATTGGGATCATCAAGGAGCTTCACGGCCTGCTTGCAATCTGTTTGAATCTCCAATCGCTCCACATCTAGGCTGTCAGCAAGAAGAAGACCCTCATAAATACCCCAAAGCTCAGCCTGCAAGATTGAAGAGTGCACAACGTTTTTGCTAAATCCATAAATCCAGGCACCTTCCTCATTTCGGATCACTTGAGCATCCGCACCAATACCTGTCGAAAGGTGAATACTACCATTTGAGTTTAGACACAACCATCCCGACTTGGGTTTTCTCCAGACGAGGCTAGTGATGGTCGGGCGAGTGGTGGGAGGAGAAGACGAGCTCCCAAGACCGTAAAGCTTCGCCCAATGATGAGCACATCGAAGAACATCAGGAGGAGCAAAAGAATAACTTGTAAAGAGTTTGTCATTTTGTCGTTTCCAAATCTACCAGGTGAGGGAGGCAAAAAGCATAGACCAAGGGACGTTACTCATCGAGGCATTGGAATTATTCCTCAAGTTGGAAAGGATCCAGACCTCAAGGTCGTCATGGAAGAAAGACGCATGCATGTGGCGAGGTAAGATTTGTACCCAAAGATTACATGCTTGAGGACAGTCTCGCAGGACATGGGTAATGGTTTCTTGTGTAGCACCACAAGCAGAGCAAGAGGCATCATGGGAGAGAGCGTCGGACCCGTTCGGAGTTTGTCACAAGTTTTCGATTGAGTGATAACAAAAAAAAATAGGCGTAGCCGTTAAGGAATGGAGAGGCTCCAAATGAATTTCTAATCGGCATTGGTGGCAGCCCAGTTCCTGTAATATCCCAAATTTTGACTAGTGACTAAAATGTATGTTTGGAAAATTTTGTGACTAAAGTGTAAACTTTGAAAATTTTAGGGACCAAAATTTTATTTTAAAAAGTTATATATTTTAGCTTGTAAATGAATAGTTTGACCTAAAACAAGTATTTTCTTGGGAATCAGATTTTCAGTACGAGATTTGTGTTTAAAGCTATAAAGCGATAAAGTTAGGTATTGAAATCGAATAATCGAATCAAACTAAAATTTAAAAAAAAATGTTATAATAATCAAGAAATTGGTCATTTTCATCTTGTTGTTCTTCTCTTGGCCGAACCACCTTGCTCAAGGTAAGAAAAATTTTTGTTTTGATTTTTGAAGTTATACACTTGCTTTTTGGATTAAGCAATTAAATAGAGAATTAATCTGCATGAAATTCTCTATCATTTGGTACCAATATTTCATGGTGAAGATGCTTGTGTGTTGAGATTGGAATTAGGGTTTATGTAGAATTTTTGGAGTTTGAAGAATTGAAGAAGAATTTTGATGTTTTTAAGGTTGGAGATTAATTCTAAGACATGTATGATGATTATTATGATGTGTATATGTTTTTATACTATTTGGCCTAATTAGGGTTTTTGGAAATGTTGGGATTTTGATGTAATTTGATGTTGTTATGGTTAGAATAACATGAATTTAATCTAAGGAAGTTGAATTCATGCTTGTAATTAAATGAAAATCAAGTCTTAAAATACTTGTTATATTCGACCATAAGGGGAAATTAAGGGAGAAATATTGAAAAATTTCCTATGGTCTAGAAATGATATTAGAAGTGTTCTATGTATTTTGGAAATCAATTTGGATCCATTTAGAAACTTGAGTTAGTAAAAGGACTAATATACAAGTTTTGAGAATTGTGGGACATTATTGCATAAATGTGATAGATGGAGTGTTAATGCTGAATTTTAATATTAGAAATGCTGGAATTTAAGTTAGAAAGTTGATTGGAACTAAATTTCAAGTTTGGTAAAGCTCGAGGGTGGAATTCGAAAAGTCTCAATATTATAGGGACTTGATTTCAAGTTTATTAAATGTGGAAGTATCATTTGGGTAATTATTGAAATGCTGGAAATTATATTTAGTATGATGATTTTTGGGTTTAATTGTTAAGTTGAGATTTAATTGTAAGTTTATCAAGTTGTGTGATTGAAATTGAAAAGTCTAAGAAAGTTTAGGATGAAATTGTAACCTTTTGAATGTTTAAGTGTTGATTTGAATATTTTAGTAAGGTACTGGAAATTTTATGTGATTAATGTAAAATGATCATAATGGTGAAGGGTTATTATGAATTAAATGGGAAAGTTAATATGAATTCTAAAAAGAATTCATAATTTATGGTTTGATGGTGTAATTGGCAAAAATCGAAGGGTTGATAGTGAAAATAAATATTCATGGGATTGAATAATCATTTTGAGAAGTTTGAAATTATAAAGGAAGTATGATTTAGTTTTATATCGATTTAAATATTGATTTTATTTCTATCGAATTTTATAATTTCGTTTAGATTATGTTAGTTTGATACTAACATATAGTTTGAATACTTTATATAATTATATAACGTCGTCAAACCATGGTAAATCTAGTGATCCAAGTAGTTTGAAAGGGAAGGAAAAGTGTGGGATCGAGAAGAATATTGTGGAGAAAGTTCGATGGCGAGATAAATGTGAGTGAATTTAATTTGTATTTATGTCATCAAACAAACATTGGCTTGAGATGAGCCAGTGTCGGAGTTGCGTTAAAAAGTGACTCCTAGTGCATGTGAAGTATGATTCAAGCCTATATGTTCAATTGGTAAGCTAATAGAATTAGTGAATACATTAAGGATGCAAGTTGATGAAATCTGCTAAAAATTATGTTATATATAGTAAGTTTAGAAATTACCAGAAATTCTAAAAAAATAATTGAAGGATGAATCTTATATCATTGAATTTGTATATCAGTCTAGTTTCTTTTAGAACAAAGGAAAATTGATTTCGAGGAGTATACAAAAAAATATGAATTTTTAATCGGTGATAAATAAAAAATAGGGCAACATATTTTGCCTAAAATAACTTCTATAAGTCAACTTTGAAAATTCTTTATAAATTGTACAAGTGAAAATAGACATAGTGCCTTATATGGTTAGATTCTTATTCGAGTCTAGTTTTTAGTGGTACAAACAGAATAATTTTTATCTTTAGATTAATACAGAATAATATTTCTTTGAAGATAGTGCAAACTGTCAGAATGTGAAATTTGAATAAATAGTGTAGTTGAAACAATGGAAATCAAATGATTAAACCTAAAGCTTAGTGAGGCTTATATTTTGATTTATAAGTAAAGTGTTAAAATGAGTACATTAATTTATTCGATTAAATTGATTGAGGACGACTTGTGATAATTCAACCTCATACTATTTTAAAGTATGTT